GGGATATGCATACTAGGAGCTGCTGGTAGAAGTGCACCATCAAAAGTCCTAAATTGAAGTGTTTGGTGCCATTCTGAATAGCCAAACCCCTTTTCTTTTTCCATGTTACCTTTAGACTGAACCTAAACAACCCTTTTGCTCATGAGTCACCACATCCAGAGTCCTTAGCACCCAGAAAAGTGTATTAAACCACATGATACAGGATATGAATGACAAGACAAGAGGAGGTGGCCTCACATTGTGCCAGGGAGAGGTTTAGGCTGGACATGGGGAACAATTTATTCCAGCTAAACTGATTCTATGATTTTGTACCTGTGATTAAAAAATAAATTCTGGGAACAAAACCCCTTCTGCCAGCCACTTCTGAAGGATATGGACAAACTATCATTTTTCTTGTAATTGATTCACATTATTAAGCTTAATTTGAAGCATTTCTGCCTAGTTGGTGCTGAGCTATTGCAGACTTCAAGGTGATTCAAATCTGAAAACAAGCTTGTGTTGCTGGAAGTTTGTCTTTTTATTAGACTAATTTGTTGCTAAAAAAAGATACTTTTTCCTTAAAGGATTTGAGTCTCAGTATACGGGGAACTTGGTGAATTTGTCAGACTTTGGGAGGGCTTGTCTATCACAGTGAACATTGAATAGATTAGACATGCAAAATCTTGGATGCCTCTACAATGTGTCATGATCTGTAAGTATATAAGTGGGATTTATAGTGATAGAACTCAGTCCTCTGGACGTGGTTCTGTTTATGGAGAGTGTATGTTTATGAAGTGTATTGTTTAGAGTATGGAAACTGGATGGGAACAAGAGAAATTCAGAATCCCTGTGTAAAAAACCCAAAAGCTTAAAACAGGAAATGTATACAGAAACAGGATCTTGTTCTTCATACAGAGAACAAACAGCTTGGGCTGAGCTTGGTGCTTGCTAAACAACTCACAAAAAATTTGTTAATCACTGCTGAACAGTATTTTAAACTCTTTTTCAAACTTCCACCTTTATTACTTGATCTTTGGAGTAGCCTTTATCAGTATTACTTAAGTTTTCAGGAACTGAGATGTTACCTGGGTTATGAATTGAGTTTAAAGTCAATTCTGAGGGTAGTCAGACAATAAGCATGGATTTTAGCCAGTACTAATTATCATGATAACTTGAAATACTTGCCAAATCTTGACCCGTAGTGAGGCCTAGGAATCTGGATGATTTTTTGGTAAACTTTGCAGAAAGGTTTAAGGTCAGCATCGAAGGGCCGGCTGGTGGTTCCCACTAGCAGCACTCTGTCCTGTGCTTTCAGAGCATTAAGGAATTTGGGGAGGATTGTTGCCAGTTGTGATGGGTTCATCTTCAGCATGTACATATAAATACAAGGAGGGAAGAGTTGTTACCAATGCTGACTGTTTAGACTTAATGAGGTGAAGCCATACACATGCCACACACAACAGGATTTTGTGCTTTTTTTTTGTCTAGTTGCATTTACTATAACCAGAGTAGAAGCTCAACCTAAGTAGAAAGCCCCTGTCTTCTGCCTGTCAGCTAGCACCTGATTTCTGCTTATGTATTCGTGGATTTCTGCTTATGTATTCGTGGATTTCTGCTAGTGCCTTCCCCTATTGAATTTGCTGGTCCTGCTTCTGAAAAGCAGGAAGGAAATTACTCTTAAAGAAGGAAATGATGATTTCCAGTTCAAGGAGAAATATTGCCTGGACCTGTCCTCCTGATGAACCTACCAGATAGAAAAATTGCCAGGGTACATAACCTAGTCTGAAATCCTCCCAGCTCTTGGAGGTTTACAGTCTGCCCATGGGTTAAATGTGAAAAATACACTCCCTAATTTTTGCCATGATTTCTAGCTTGCTGAGAGCACAAGCTCTTTGAGTTGGGAATTCATTTCTTTATAAAACTTCACCATTTGACTTTAGAACAAATTTTTCATCTACTGTTTACAGAACAGATGATTACTGTGCAAAACCTGTTATTGGGCAGTTGTGTTTGATACTGTTCAAGTGAATATTGGCTGTGGAAGCTTAATCATGTTGCTGTGGTGTCACTCTACTGTTAATAAAGCTGTAAGTGAATAACTGGGTGAAGATAGTGTGTCAGAGGTCTAATGACTTGGAAGCCTCCTTTCAGAAATTATTGCTACTTAACAGCCAGATCATAGAATCACAGGCTGGTTTGGGTTGGAAAAGAGCTTTCAAGGCCATCCAGTTCAACCCCCTGCAGGGACAGGGACATCTGCAGCTAGAGCAGGGTGCTCAGAGCCCCGGCCAACCTCACCTGGGATGGCGCCAGGGATGGGGCAGC